CAGGTAATGACTATAGGTCATGGGAAAAAAAGTATATATGGATATCATTGCTGATGTCAGATGGATCTCAGCAGAAAGCAAAGAATGCCAGAAATATGTTTACTTGTGTTTTATTGACTATGCAAAAGCATTCAACTGTGTGGATAATAAAACATTATGGATAATATTGACAAGAATGGGAATTCTGGAACACTTAATAGTACTCATGAGGAACCTGTACATAGACCAAGAGGCTGCTGTTCAAACAGAACAAGGGGATACTCCATGGTTTAAAATCAGGAAGGGTGTGTGTCAAGGTTGTATCCTTTAACCATACTTACTCAATCTGTATGCTGAGCATATAATCTGAGAAGCTGAACTATATAAAGAACATGGTATCAGGATTGGAGGAAGACTCATTCACAATCTTGCAATATGCTGATGACACAACCTTGCTTACTAAAAGCGAAGATGACTTGAAGCACTTACTGATGAAGATTAGACTACAGTCTTCAATGGATTACACTTCAACATAAAGAAAGTGAAAATCCTCACAAGTGGACCAATAATCAGTATCACGATAAATGGAGAAAAGATTGAATTTGTCAAAGACTTCATATTACTTGGTTCCTCAATCAACACCAGTGGAACCTGTTGTTGTTAGGTGCTGTCAAGTCCTCTCTGATTCACAGCAACCCTATGCACAGAACGAAACACTGCCCAGTCTTGTGCCACCTTCATGACACTTCTTATACCTGAGCACATCATTGGAGCCACTGTGTCTATCCATCTAATTGAGGTCCTTTCCCTTCTTCATTGACCCTTCAGTTTACCAAGGTTGATATCCTTCCCCAGGGAATGGTTCCATCTGACAACATGACCAAAGTAGGTAAGATGAAGTCTGGCAATTCTTGCTTCCAAGGAGCATTCTGGTTGCACTTCTTCCAGGACAGATTTGTTAGTCCCTTTAGCATATCATGGTACTCTTGGCATTCTTCTCCAACACAACAACTCAAAAGCATCACCTCTTCTTCATTCTTTCTTATTCATTGTTGAGCTCTCACACGCATAAGAGGCGATTGAAAATACCATGGCTTGGGTTAGGTGCACCTTAGTCTTCAAGGAGATATCTTTGCTCTTCAGCACTTGAAAGAAGTCTTTTGCAGCAGATTTGTCTGATGCAATACGGCATTGAATGTCTTGACTGCCGCTTCTATTGGTGTTGACAGTAGAACCAAGTGATATGAAATCCTTGATGTTCTGGTTATCTTGTGCCACTCTGACAAGAACTATACAACATATTGGATGGCTTAAACAAACAGGAGTTTATTATCTTACAGTTCGGGAGGCTAGAAGGCCAAGTTCAAAGTGTCAGGCTCTAGGGGCTGGGAGAAAGACCCTCAACCTTGGAGTCCAGCTCTGCCTCCTGCTCCCAGCCCACTGGAGCTAGAGACATTTCTTCACTCAGACAACTGTTGGCTGCTGAGGCTGAGAAGCCCCAAGGTTGACAAGTAAAAAGGCACAGTCTCAATATTACCAAACCACATCGCAGGCCATTAACTTAAGTCCATTGTAAGCCCCAAGGTCAGCAGAGCATAACAGGCTGCTGAGCAATGACACAGCTACATGCAGGGTCCAAGTGTGCCAAAGACTGGAGACCATTCTCAAAGCTTCTCCTTATATACAGGAAGCAGACCACATCCCAAAGGCAGATACTCAGCTGCTTGTGGTAGATCCCACCATGGAGCTGATTGCCTGTCTCATCATGGGGAATAACTACCACCAACTGCCCAGCCACTCAACCAGGCCCAGCCAAGCTGACACACAAACATAACTACCACACTTGACAACTTCAATCATTTCTCAAATTATCATGAAGCTGTTTATTGGACCAGTTGTGAAGATTTTTGTTTTCTTTATATTGAGATGTAATCCATACTGCAGACTGTAGTCTTTAATCTTCATTAGTAAGTGCTTCAAGTCATCCTCACATTCAGCAAGCAAAGTTGTGCCATCTGCATATTGCAGGTTGTTAATGAGTCTCCCTCCAACCATGATTCTTCTTTATATAATCCAGCTTCTTGGATTATTTGTTCAGCATACAAGTTGAATAAATATGGGGAAAGGATACAGCCTTAATGCACTTCCTTCTTGATTTTGAACCATGCAGCATCCCCTTCTTCTGTTCTAATGACAGCCTCCTGATCTATGTACAGGGTCCTCATGAGTACAATCAAGTGTTCTGGAATTCTCATTCTTTTCAATATTACTCATAAATTTCAGTGATCCACACAATCTAATGTTTTTGCATAGTCAATACCTCCAAGTCTGTGCACATTTCATTCTAATAATTGACTTTGTCTTTTCGAGCTGCTCATTGAAATCTTGTGTTCAGCTCTTTTATGTTTTCATTTCTTCCATTTGCTTTAGCTACTCTCCACTCAAGGGCAAGTTTCAGAGTCTCTTATGATTTCCATTTTGGTCTTTTCTTCCTTTCTTGTCTTTTTAATGACCTCTTGCTTTCTTTACGGATGATGTTCTTGATGGCACCCCACAATTCCTCTGGTTTTCAGTCATTGATGTTCAATGTATCAAATCTATTCTTTAAATGGTCTCTAAATTCAGGAGGAATATTATCAAGGTCCTATTTTGGCTCTTGTGGACTTATTTTAATTGTCTTCAACAACAACTTGGACAATCATATGAACAGTTGATGTTCTGTTCCCCAGTCAGCTCTCGGCCTTCTTTTGGCCAAAGTTAGTGAACTTCTCTATCATCTCTTGCCACAGATGTAGTCAATCTGATTCCTGTGTATTCCATCTGGTGAAGTCAATGTGTATAGACATTGCTTATGTTGTTGAAAAAAGGTATTTGCAATGAATAAGTCATTGGTTTTGCAAAATTCTATCATGCAGATCTCCAGCATTATTTCTATCTCCAAGGCCATATTTTCCAAACAATGGTAACTCTTCTTCATTTCCAACTTTTGCATCCTAGTCACCAGTGATAATCAACACATCTTGATTACATGTTTGATCAATTTCAGACTGCAGAAGTTGGTAGAAATCTTAAATTTCCTCATCTTCAGCTCTGGTGGTTGGTGTGTAAATTTGAATAATGGTAGTATTAACTGATCTTCCTTGCAGGCATATGGATATTTTCCTATCACTGATAGCACTGTACGTCAGGACAGATTTTGAAACACTCTTTGTGAGAATGAATGCCACACCATTTTTCTTCAATTTGTCATTCCCAGCATAGCAGACTACATGGTGGTCTGATTTAAAATGGCCAAAACTGGTCTATTTCAGCCAAAAGAAGGCCGGAAGCTGACTGTGGAACAGAACATCAACTAATGCCTAGGAAGGAGCTCTGGTAGCATAGTGCCTAAGGTACTTGACTGCTAACCAGAAGGTTGGCAGTTCACACCCACCAGCCAATCCTCAGAAGGAAGACTGGGCAATCTACTTCCATTGTGATACTGCCTCAGCAACCCAAGGAGGGGTCACTATGAGTGGGGTCTGACTTGATGGCACATAACAACAACAACAATACCTAGGATATCAATCTTTATGCATTCTAGTTCATTTTTGACAACTTCCAATTTTCCCAGATTCATACTTTGTACATTCCATGTTCCAATTATTAATGGATGTTTGCATCTGTTTCTACTCCTTTTGCGTCATGCCACATCAGCCAACAGAGGTCTCAAAAGCTTTCTCTATCCATATCATTAAGGTCATCTTTGCTCTGAGGAGTCAGCTTTTTCCCAGTCAAATTTTGAGTGGCTTCTGACCTGATGGGGTCATCTCCCGGCACTATATTGGACAATGTTTCAGGGATATTCATAAAGTTTTCCAGTAATATATCAGACAGTGTTTCACTACTATTCATGAGGTTCTCACAGGCCAGTTGTTTGAGAAATGGAAGTAGCAGTCAAGAAATCAGAGGACATATTGCACTAGGCAAATCTGCCACAAAAGACCTCTTTAAAGTGCTGGAGAGCAAAACTGTCTCTTTGAAGACTAAGGTGTGCCTAACCCAAGCCATGATATTTCCAAAAGCCTTATATGCATATGAAAGCTGGACAATGAATAAGGAAGAACAAAGTGTTGATGCTTTTGAGTTACGGTGTTGGTAAAGAATACTGAAAGTGCCATGGACTACCAGAAGAACTGACAAATCTATCCTGGAAGAAGTGCAGCCAGAATGCTCCTTGGAAGCAAGAATGGCCAGACTTTATCTGATCTGCTTTGCTCATGTTGTCAGAAAGGACCATTCTCTGGAGAAGAATATCATGCTTAGTAAAGTGGAGGGTCAGCAAAAAAGCAGAAGACCCTCAACTGACAAAATGGCTGAAATGATAGGCTCAGGTTTAATGATGATTGTGAGGATGGTGCATGACTAGACAATGTTTCCTTCTGTTGTAGAAAGTATCCCTAATTAGTAGGAGCTGAGTCAATGGCACCTAACAACTATATATATATATATACACACATATGTATATATATATATACACACACACATACATATACATACATACATACATATGTGGTCAAATGTTAACAACTGGGCAACCAGGAGTTCTTTGTACTAGTCTGAGTTTATCTGTAATGTTAATTTTTTTTCAAAATAAAAGTTTTGAAATGTAGAAAATATGGGACTATAAGAACAATGGCATTATCCATATTTTGACATTACTTCATACTTTTCAAGTATTATACTATCTTGAAGGTAAAATTACATATAATCTTATTTTTTTTCTTTTATCATACCTTTAGGCTAGTGCTTCATTAAAAACGATGTGATAAACTATGCACAAGTTTTAAATTGTTACTTATACTAACATTGCAAAATGAATTTCTGAAGAATTCTTATTGACAAACAAAAATGAGTATCATTTCCTTTATCTTTTTCAAACTGTTATATAAATGATATAATTCAGAATCAGAAACATATTGTTTGTCCTCAGTGAAAGTAACAACATAAGTCATTTTGCTAACACTCTCTCTCTTGCCTAGGTTTCGTATGTCAAGGCTATTGACATATGGATGGCAGTTTGCCTCCTTTTTGTGTTTTCAGCACTTCTGGAATATGCAGCTGTAAATTTTGTATCGAGACAACATAAAGAACTTCTGAGATTTCGACGAAAAAGAAAGAATAGGGTAAGCAATGAAATGTATTGTCGTTATTAGGATACCGATTTTCACTGGAGAGTGAATGTGTTATGTTTAATAGAAATTTACGGAGATGAATTAGAGAATGGGGATTAAATGTGATATTACTTTGGTTTTCTCAAATTTGAAACAAATTTGTCAAAAATAGCTTCAGGGGGAAAATGGTGATACCTAAATATAATTTACACAGCACATCTGGTGACATGAGAACTTTATCAACTTCATCTTACTTTGTTTCTTGGAACAACACTGTGTTTTTGTTTTGATTAGCAAAATATTTATTTCTTTCTTGTATGTAAGAGTATATCTAATGGTCTTATTTGATGTAAATCATCAAATATGATTTTAAAGTTCTGCTTTTTTGAACTAATTTCTTTTTTTTTCCAATCAAATAATACTTATTTTTTAATACTATAATGATAAGTTCATGTAAAATTATGTGGTCTCTTTTTTTATGCATACTTCTTCCATTCTTAAGACATTTCTTCTGAAATACTTCCTTGCCTTGCTATCAGCTGATAAAAGACAAAAGCTGAACCCAAAAGAACATTTATTTAAAATATCATTCAGTGACCACAGGAAATTGTTGATGAAATCCCCTAATTGGATTTGGATGTTTAGAATGGGGTTGCTTCTCTTTATTAAGACCTGCACTGGCATCTCACATGACACACATGGTTTTGACCAACTTTCTTCCTTTTTCTGTAAGGAAAATTTTCTATTGACCAACAAATCCATGAGTTTACTTCTAATGTGAATGTACCAACTGACATTTTAAATGCAAATGACTCTTGAATCAGTAGAGAAATGTCAAAGTCATATATAACAGGAGAAACTGTGGCCAAGATCCAGTATACTTAAATATTTGGCTCAAATATTAAAAACTATCATCTAATCCATATAATGTGCATTTAATGGACTTTTTAAAGGTTTTAATTTTAAACTTTTTAAAGATTTATAATGGTTTCTGAATTATTGACTGCAACATACATATTCATTAAATATTTTTTTTTGAAAAACTACACCACAGTCTTTAACTGCTTCAGTCTATTCAGTATTAAAAGTATTCTAAAGGAATGACTTATTATCCAATTATGTCTAATGAGCTTCTCAAAATCAGCATTACTCTAAGTCACTGAATTCACTGTACCATGGAAGGAGCATGAGCATTGGGAGACTGTTGGGTAAATATACTGGACAAAAAACAGTGGTAGAGCTTACATTTGGTTAAATGTTCATACAAATAAAAACATATCACTTGTACATTGAAATATATTATAATGAGGAGAGTAACCTTTCTTTATCCCTTTCCCTCCATCCCTGCCTTTCAATTTACTTATATTTTTCTAATTCTTCCTCATTCCCTTTCTTTCTCTCCACCACTTACTTTTTTTACATCTTTTTCTCATGATACATGGCACTGACTGATACACCTTAGCAGGAAAAGGTGCTCTGTCACAGGACTGAAGTTCTTGTCCTTATTCCCAAATTGTGACTGTTAAAGGCAATTCTCTCTTCTATCATTAATGAGAAGTAAAGCATTACTCATTTTCCCTATCATTTTTGTTTGCTTTTTCATTTTTACTTTTCATTTCTTTACCTTATTCCTCCTTCCTATACAATTTAGAATGTATTAACTTTGTGTTACAAACAGTAAAATTGAAGGTTGTGATGTGGTGTGTAAATGGATGAAGTCTGAGATATCAAACATTTTACACTCAAAACACATCCAACAGCCACAGCATCCAATGAAAATGAAGTAATATGACTACAAGTTCAGACACTCAGTTCTGATTCTTCCTTCTTTTAATTAATTATTTAATTAATTAAATAGCCTTAAAAAAGCATCTCTTCATCCAGCTTTACCACATAGAAAAATGTTGGGATAAAATATCATATATTCTTTATACTTCATAGAGATAAATTTGATCAGTGATTGGACATCTGGTAAAATGTTCAAAAGCAAAAATACTGATGTTTTATCATTTTTAATCAGTAGTTTAAATATTCAGAGAGAAAATATTTCAATTCATATTTAGTGCAGAAATAATATAGTTTTTTTTTAAAAAAAAGTTCAATTTATACTTTGTGGGTAGATACCTTGCATATGTGAAAAATCTATTAACTGATATATGTATGTGTGTTAAAATGCTATATGTGATTCAAACCAATTGTGCAATTATATTTTAATCATTTATGACTTGATTCTCTGGATTCTCAATCTCTTTTGGTCCACTTTACCTTCCCACAGACAGAAGCTTTTGCATTGGAGAAGTTTTACCGTTTCTCAGACACGGTAAATTCACTTTTTTAACACTAAATAGAGGAATGTGGTCTTTAGTAAAAAGCAGACAGCATATCTGCAAGCAGGCAGTGTTTGGTGGGGAAACCAGCCCCTTCCATATTTAATGTAAAACAACCTCTGTCCTCCTTTTAGCTCTCTTTTTCTAAAAACTCCACTTGTTTTCTTTCTTTAGTAAAAGCATATTTAAAAAGTATCCTTCAGCTTACTAACAGAACTTTTTCATGTGCCAAGATGAGATTAAGTATATATTAAAAAGAAATATCATATCTCTATTGAGAAAATAATATATTTTGATCAAATTAGTTCAAAACCAGTCCCGCTTGCCAGAAAATCAAAAGAGCTAAGGCAATAAAATACTCTGTGTAATCTATGTATCTTTAGAATACATTGTGAAATATGGTGAGATTCTTTACAGGAGATGAATGAGTCATTTTGGTTTTTTATTGACCTATAAGAAGAAATCACAAGGACACATGTCCACATGTAATAGCTGAAAATTAGTCCAGGTTAGAGAACACTGGTCTGTAGGTGGCTAGACCTGGCGGAGATAACACAGCATTCAGTGGTTGAATATAACTAAGCCAAAGCCAAAACTTTAGCTTGGAGAATCATATACAAATAGTTCACTCTACTAAACTAAAATGTCTTGGGTAACATACATTCAAATATAATTCCCCAGATGATTTTACTGTACATCTCTGGTTAAGAATCACTGTAAGAGACTTAATAGTAGATGAATACTACAGTAATCTCAACTTTGGAGCAGATATCTAGACCTAGTATTATTTCAAGGTACTTGTTAAGCTTTTTTAAATATTATAATATACAATCAATCACTCAACCATTTTCATTGGTAATAAAATAGCACATTATTTCCCAACATACACACTTTCCTATTTTTTTTATTCCTTAAAAAATAAGTTCACAAGATCCAATTGCCTTTATTTCATTATCTTGATTGTGAATTTTTAATTACATGGAATTTGCATAATCAGATGTAGTGCTTACAAGATAGATTAGATAGATAGACAGATATACATAATGAGACTATCTTTTCAGAAGAGAACATCATTAACTCTCTTATAACTAAACAAAGGAGTCCTGTTGCACAGTGGTTCAAGTATTGGGCTTCTAATCAGGTCTGAAGTTCAGCCAGAGGCATAGCTATGGAAAATAGTGCCTTTGGCAATTAGTTTAAATTGCTGAATGATCTCTCACATCTGGCAATGTGAACTTCCATGGCATTGCCCAGGGCATGTGCCATACCCCCCATACCTCATATAGTCCTCTGTGTTCAGTCACTCTGTGAGAAAGAGGGGGCAGTCTGCTTCCAAAAACTTTAGAGCCTTGAGAAACTAACGGGCTGAGGCATATCTAAGGGATATAGCCCCTATGGAAATTAGTTTTAAATTGCTGAATGAACCTCTCACCGTTGGCACTGGAAACAGCGATTGCCAATAGAAACTGCTCATTGCTCCCCCCACCCCACAAGTGGCGCCCACGGCATGTGCCCTAGCTGCCATACTGAAAAGCTTTTGCCTACGGAGCAGTTCTACTCTGCCTGCCCTATGGTGTTGTTATAAGTCCAAATCAACTCCACACAATGAGTTTGAATGGGCAGTGTTTTAGGAGCTCTAGAATAAAAGATATATTTTCAATTAAAAATTGCTTTAGAAAACAATGCAAGAACTCCAAAGAAAAATCAGGATTATACTCTTCATAGACGATCAATAAAATTTTATTTAAAAAATAAATAAATATGTAATGATAATGATAATCAAATATATTCATAAGAAAAATATGCACATCCTATTTATTTTTATAATATTCTAAGAACTATGCAATTTTATAGTTGTTCATTTTTACTTTTTGGAGTTAATTCTCTTAATCTAACAACCTTCTGGGCTGACTAGATTCAGTACTTTTAAGAAATTATGGATTTTGCATATAAACAATCTATGCACACTAAATCTTTAAATCAAAATGAGTCTAAAGTTTGAATATATGCCCTTTATTTCCATAAGTACTGGTTTACATGGATTTTCCTCAGTTCTTTGATTTCACAGAATAGGCAAAGTAAACAAAATTGTCTCATTACAGAAAGTTTGTCAATATGGGAAATCTTATGTTAATGTAAATATTTTCCTAGGGAAGTTTTAACTTGGATCACTATTAGCTTAAGGATTATATGAACTCTTTTCTATGTTTTCCTCTATTAAGGTCCTCTATTAGGGTACCAGCGAATTCTTTGTCTACTGTGAAAGAGTACAAGTTTGCCCTGGTATCCAGATTTCCCCACCCCACACTGTCCATCGTCTGCTGTGTGCTGATTATACATGCACCATTTAGTTGCTTATTCCCCAGTGCTGTATATGTGTGGGTGTGTGCATGACATAAATGTATTTTTGTTAGAAATTTATATTCCCATTTTTTTATATTACTTAAGGGCTGTAGCAACCCCTCCTTGGATTTCCGAGGCAGTATCACTACAGAAGTAGATTGCCCAGTCTTCCTTCCAAGGAGTGGCCAGTGGATTTGAACCACCAGCCTTCTGGCTAACAGAACTGCGCCACCAGAGCTCCCATAGATATAAAGACATACCAAAATATTTCTCTGCACATGTAATTTGTTGACAAATATGAATGAAATAACTGTGTTAATGCATTTCATATAGCTTATTTGGCACTGCAATGTAATGATGCAGGGGTTTGCTGAAAGAAAATACATTCTCACAATTTCTTAGTACTCCTAGTATTCTCCTAGTATTCTGTCTTCCTACTTATTATTGTATGTTTACCATTTATTTATAAGGAGCCCTGGTGGTGCAGTGCTTGGGGTTTGGTTGCTAACTGAAAGGTTAGTCATTCAAATACACCAGCCACTCCAAGGGAGAAAGATGTGGCAGTGCCCCCTTAAAGATTACAGCCCAGGAAACCCTATCAGGCAGTTCTACCCTGTCCTATAGGGTCACTACAAGCCAGAATTGACTTGAGAGCAATAGGTATCATTTATTTATACATACAAAAAGTAGGAATGGATAGTTAGTTCTGGACTGAAGAAACATGACCAAGTTCATGCTTTGCTAGGCACAATGGTTATCTTTTTTTAATAAAGATATCATTGACTGCATTTTGACAGTCAATGTGAAACTGACAAATTATTTTATTTCCTTATGTATCTATATCGTATCTTACACTAAAAATAACTAAAGTTAACTTTAAAAGATAGCTTAAAATTCCTTGCAACTACCTTTTGTCAGCATTATAGTCTTATGACAAAATGCACATACATATGTCTACTTATTTTGGATTAAGTGTCAAGGCTCCAGAATTTAAAACAATACAGCACTACATGTACTATAAATAATAATAATAATATAACTATACCCACTGCTGTACAGTTGATTCCAACTCATAGCGACCCCTCCTTGTGTTTCCCAGGTGGTGTCTCTATGAAAGTAGATTGCCCACTCTTCCTTCTGAGGAGCGGCTGGTGGATTTGAACTGCCAGCCTTCTGGTTAGCAGTCAAATGCCTTAGGCACTGTGCCATATACACTATATTATGTAATAATCCTTCCATTCTAAGTTAATTTATGCTATATTCCTTTAGAAGGTAAACTAGTTCCTAGGAACTTCTATTGTATGTAATTAAGGAAAAAATGATTTCCAGTAATTTCCATTCAAACAAGATTTTACTTGAATGGCTACAATTTGTTGAAATTTCATCCTCTCAAGTAAAACAAAATGGTTAGAATGTAATTATTTCCTATAAACAAATATTTAGAATTTGTGTTAAACACAGTTAATTATTTTATCTATATCCTTTCTGAAATATCTGTTGAGGAAAATAATATTTATAAAGTAATATAACTTCCATTTAAATCTAAATTCACATAAATTATGGTTACTTCCATCTCAAAAATAACTAATAAAGAAATACTCTGTTTTGCACATGTATCATTTTATGCCACTCCTTAAGTTCAAGTTGGCACTGAAGAAATCTTGTATAATATGCTAGAAATAGATGTATTTAAAATTAATTATCTTATTAATTTTAATCTGTCCTCTAAAATATTTATATTACATCTTCATAATTTTTCACCTAAAAAATTCATCCATTAAGCTTGTATGTTGCCATTCAATCATCTCCAAACTCTTTTGCAATCTGACTTTAATGAGCCAAGTATAAACTTGGTTATTTCATAGCTAATTCATATGTCATCTAAAACTAATGCAAAGTTCTCCTGAGGACTAGATTTTAAAGAATTCAATATTAGCAATTAACTTGCAACTATAAAGAATATTGTAACTTATAATTATATTCTGTCAAGCTTTCCATTTTTAAACTATACAGATATGCATGTAGATGTTTGAAATAATATTTTATTTTCACAACAAATGCAATGCACTGCTGCCAAGTCAGATCTGACTCATAGCACAACCATTCCTTGGGTTTCTGAGGTGGTATCACTATGCAAGTAGATTGCCCAACCTTCCTTCTGAAGAGTGGCTGGTGGGTTTGAACTACCCGCCTTCTGGTTAGAAGTAAAATACCTCAGGCACTATGCCATCATATATTTTATTTTAGGATAATGGTTATTTTGGCAAAACAATTTTTAATTTTATCTTTTTTTATCTTAACTTAGAATTTCCTAAATAATTATAATTTTCCCCAAAGAATGTAAATCTTTTTTATACTTACCAACAAGTTTTTAAGTAAATCATCTACATCATTTTGAATCATGTATATGGAAATTAAGGAGCTCTGGTAGCATAGTGCCTAAGGCACTTCACTGCTAACCAGAAGGCTGGCAGTTCAAACCCACCAGCCACTCCTCGGAAGGAAGGTTGGGCATTCCTACTTCTGTAGTGATACTGCCTCGGGAACCCAAGGAGGGGTCGCTATGAGTCGGGGCTGACTCGATGGCAAATAACAACAACAACATATGGAAATTATTAATAATTCAATTTTTTCCCTCTGTCACTTTTCC